TTTTTTCTCCTTTCTCCTCCTTCCCATCCACCCTCCCCCTCACCTCTTGCACATTCTAAACACACAGACGTGACTCGATCCACCAAATAAAATCCCAACTCCCAGAACGCCATTGACTCAAATGTATACAGGCCAGGACACAATCAGTGCAGTAAATGTCTGTCAAGAAATTTGCAAACTGCTCATCGAACCAAACTACTGATAATCAATCAATGAATACTGAACGAGATAAAAACAATTCTCTGCATTTCACACTATGTTTAAAATCAATGGATGTCGTAATAAGTGAGCTGTTAGAAATAACTAATTAGTTAACCGCATTGACAAGTTTATGTTGGAGGCAATACACGATTAGGTAGGGTAGGATTGTAACGCCTTTGTCTAAGCTGAAATACAGAGTGTCTGACACATTGTCCATCTCCGATAGGACTATGGCAAGTTGGTGGAGATAAAGCCATAAAAAGTATTAATCACAATAAAAATGAACATACCATAAATAAATAAATACGTAAATAAATTATTTAAAAAAAACCAAATAATGAATAAATAAATATATAAATAAATACATAAATAAATAAATAAATAAATAAATGCAATCAGAATAATGTTTGTGTGGGGTAAAGTACATTTTAACAGCTGTTCGATGACAATTTTTATGTGCGGGTGGTTGGTTGGTGCTGTGGTATGGTTTGCTCCTTCTTTCCTATCATCAACCATCTGTCGTCCTGATCTCCTCACCTTGTTTTTCTGTTTGTTACTCTCTTGTAACAACTCCAATCTTCGGCATTTATGTGACCTTATTGTGTTGCAAGTGCAGTAAAACTCTTACTAAAACAGAAGACAAACAACGAAGATGTCCGTTACAAGGTGGTGGCCTCGGTAGCTTAGTGGTTAGGCTACCGGACTCGTAATCGTGAGATTGCGGGTTCGGGGGTTCGAGCCTCTGCTCGGTCCGACGTTGTGTCCTTGGGAAATGCACTTTACACGAACTTCCCACTTGGTTCGGTCCTATCGGAGACGGACGTTAAACTATGAGGTCCCCCCCCCCCCCTTAAATAACCTAATAGTGTTGATAGGGGCGTTAAACCCATACCATTTCACCATTTTTCGTTACAGGGTCGTTCGTGGTGAACTTTGTCCTGGACGGCACCCTGTTCTCCTTTGGTGTTCTCCTCCTGTACCTGTTGGATGACTTTGGCGAGGACAAGGCTACTACAGCATGGGTGGGCAGTGCTCAGATGGGCGTGCACATGTGTATGGGTGAGTGGTTGTTGTTGTTGTGGGTGGTGGGGGTGGTGGTGGTGGTTGAATTGGTGTTGGGTGTTGTTCGTGGCGATGGTGATGGTGATGGTGATGGTGTTTGTTGTTGTTGTTGTTGGTGGTGGTGGT